AGGCCCGGCGCAGGCAGGTGCAGACACGTGCACAGGGACCTCGTGGGGCTTCCCTCCTGCTCGGGGCCCAGGTGCTCTGTGCGCATGTGCAGACGGGCACACACAGACCGTGCACCGGGCCACGCTCAGACGATGGCCCCCAGGAGTCAGCGAGGAGATGGCACCGCGCCTGCTGCAGGAGGCATGGGGGCCTGGGCGCAGGCTCTGCCCGGCACCCCTGTGCGCAGAAAGGTCAGCCGGGCCCAGTCCGATGCTGTCATTAAAGGATTTAGTGCCCGAGTGCAGACAGGGAAGGGCATTTGCTTAACCCGTTCATTCCTTTCGCGTCCTGAGCGCCACCCGCCCCAGGCGCTTTCCCAGGGATGCAACTCAAGCCCCAACCCCCTGACCCGGAGCCACTCTCACCAGAGAACAACAGACAAACGCCTGGCAGTGCCGCGGGCTGTTCAGAAGGAACGCGAAGAGCAGGAGGCCGGCGGGCGGGTGCTGTCTTAAGGGGGACGGTCGGGGAGGCCAGTGAGAGGGGACGTGGGGAAGAGGCCGAGGACAGGGAGGGCCGGCCATGCCAGTCTCAGGGTGGAGCTCCCAGCGACCAAAGCCCCGAGCAGGGGGCATGCGTGGTGGTGTTTCTGGAGCCACAGGAGCAAGTGGCGGGGAAGGAGGTGGGGGAGGCGGCCAGGACCCCGATGGAGGGGACGTGGTGAGACCGTTGCCGTTCATCCCAGGTGTGGGGAGCGCTGAAGGCCGGAGAGCTGGGAGTGACAGCTGATTTATTTCTAGATGGATCACTCCGGCTGCGGGTGGAGATAGACTCTCGGGATATTTATGAGGCACCTGCCACGCGTGAGGCATGTGCTGAGCACCATGGGGGACGCGGGGATAAATAACCTGATTTCTGGTCGGGTCACATGCAATTTAGCTGAAGCGGACAGATCAGTCAACAGCCCCCTGGAATCCGGGCGGATGGAATCAGAGGCGTAACGGGCAGTGGGACGTGTGTGTGAAGAGCAGGAGCCTTAAATACCATCGATGGGAATTCAGATCTGGCTTCTGCTTCCCCGTTAGTTGACCCTCAGCCTCAGTTTCCTCATTGGTCAGTGGCAGTCACGGCAGTAACACCCCCGCCCTCAGGTGTGTGAGCCGCTGCACCCTGAGCCGCTGGGGGAGTGGCTGGCCCCGCCTGCCCCCCTC